CCAAATTTTCATCTTCTAATGTGGCCCAGGGAAGGTGAAAGGTTGGACTCCCCTGGTTTAAAGGTTGCCATTACCTGACCCACAAGAGGCGCGTCAGTTTTTTGAAGTGATGGATAGCCTTAGCGATACCTGAGAAGCCACTGAAAAGTGGTGTCAGAGGAAGGGGCTATAGGTCCATTTTGGAAGGGCTGGAAAAGAAGGCCTTACTGAGTCCTCAGGAAGACCGGAAATGAGCCAGGGGCCTGAGGTTCCTGATCCTTGGGTGCAAATAACCCAAGGTAGTTCACTTGTTAGCTGGCTTGGATAACTCAGTGGCTTAGGTATCTGACTAAGGAACCAGAGGTTTGGAGTTTGATTCTTGACTGTGCCTCCTATGAGCAGAACCAGCCTGTGTGGCCTTGGGCAAACTGCACAGTCCCGAGACATCTCCAGAAAAAGGGAATGGTAAGCCATTTCTGAGTACTCACTACCTAGAAAACTCTGAAAAAGGGTTGACGGCACATTATTATTTAGCTCACTTATTAGGTACCAGGACTTCTGGAGTTCCACATGACTACTGAGACCTCATAGATTCCTAGTATAATCTCCTCACCTCCCTTTTGAGGGTGGGCAATCCCATAAACTAGATCTTCATGCAAAGTGCATAAAACATTATAAGCATGATGGAACAGAATCTAATGACTTTATTTCTATATGTTGTTTTTATTATGTGCTATCAGGTCGTTTCAAACTTATGGTGACCTGTGAATTAATGATCTCCAGAAGATTCTATCTTTGACAGCCTTCCAGAGATCTTGAAAATTAAATGCTGTGGTTTAGGATTCCCTCTTTTGCCCTTGCCTTCAACTTTTGTTAACATGGTTGTGTTACCCAGCAAGTCTTGTCCTCTCATTACCGTATTTGCCGGGGTACAAGGCGACCGACCATATAAGATGACCCCCCCCACAGAAGAGGCTGGGCGGGCCGCGGCAGCAGGAGGAGGAGGAAAAGGGAAACGGGTGGGTGGCGGGCGAGCGAGTGCACCGCTAGCTCAGCAGCGCAGGACAACAGGCTCTGGCCACTGAGATATGGCAGCAAGAGGGCGAGGAAGAGGGCAAGAGGCTGATTGGGCGGAGGCAGGAGGAGGAAAAGGAAAACGGGCTGGTGGCGGGTGAGCGAGCACGCCGCTGGTTCAGCGGCGCGGGGTGGTGGGCAGCCCGGCGGCGGGCTCTGGCCACTCAGGCATGGCATGTGCTTCCCTCCCTCCATCCAGACTGCCTGCCTGCCTGCCTGCCTGCCCGACTGCCTTCCTCCCCGGCCAGCGCAGCCCCACTCAGCGGTGGTGGCGGCGGCTCCTTCCTGGCCCAATTGAAGTGCACCTGGCGTACAAGATGACCCCCCCCCACTTGGAGGCATGTTTTGGGGCACAAAAAGTCATCTTGTACGCCGGCAAATACAGTATATGCCCAAAGTATGGTAGGGTTTAGTCACTTATGCAGAGCTTTTAAAAGTAATTTTTTTTCTGCATCCCTCACAGTTCTCCTATCAGCTTTGCCAGTGGCTGTGTTGGCTGGGGATTCTGGAGGTTATAGTCCAAAAAAGTGACTTTTCAGCTGCAATGTGATACAAGCTGGGAACAAATGCCCTGTGTTCTCATATATGCAGTTGATATAGATTTAATTCCCTACACGAAGGGCCAATCCTGGGAGTCATGAAACTTCACAGTGTGACTTGAATGTGATATTGTGGATTAGATGGGCATAATTACCTGAAAAATTGAGTTAATTATAGCTTTTATATGACAGCTGTTGGAGTCATGAGGTATTTGGCTTATTTCATTACTTGGCTATGTGTTTTTGAGATTCCTCTGTAGTTCAGGTGACAAATGACAGTGTTCTGCAGTATACCGAGTTCAGATATTTCTTAGGCTTTCAAAAGGTAGTGTGTGCTTTTAATCAAAACCCCACTGGAGTCAAGAAGGTTTTGTAGAAAACTCTTGGTGGGTCTATTAGGCAAGCAGATGAACAGGAGGTGGTAAGAGCCGGCTCTTAGATTAATTAAATCAACGGCTTGTTTCCTCCAGTGACTTCACATCAAGGCAGAGGTCAAATACTGAGAGCCATGTAGAGTTGCATTTTTAAGTGAGTTTTCACCTGAAAGCAGTGGAGGTTTGGGGAATTTCGGACCTTGTAAGATTGTTGGCATTCGGTTTAGATACGGAGATCAAACACTGACATGAAGGGCTGAGATAATTTAACCTTCGTTGCAGTAGGTGACTTATTTCATTACTTCTTCTGACAGGACCTTCATAAGATTGTTTTAATTAGACGATGCAACTCCTGGAATTGATCCAGATTCCCTCCTGTTTTCTTCTTTGTGTTTAAACTTTAAACCCGTCTTGTGCCGACCTTGTCTCTCTTTCTTCATTGGCATGGAGAGCTTCTCTTCACACTTTCAAGGGGTTCTGGAGGTTGCGTGCTGTCTGCTGTAAAAGCGTGGATCAGAAGATTGCTTTTGACATTTTCTTTTAAACAGTGAAATGTTGTAACCTCTTCTCTTTTTTCTTTTGCTGTTGGAACTTCCAATTGCAATATGACTTGAACTTTGTGACTAGTTGGGTAAATGTGGTGGAGGCACACCACACTGTTCCTTTTTTACTTCAGAAACTGAACAGCATAAATCAGGCACCTTAAATATTTACCTACCCCCACCCCCCAAAAAATCCAGTTACCTTTTATGGATTAGGGTCAGTTTACTGTACCTAGGGATAAAGAGGTCCATTGTGGTACAGAGTGCTGTTTGTAGGGCTCATCATGTGAAATGATCTCCTTCTTGGGTTTAGCAGGCTCCAAGTGTTGTGTTTCTGCTGTAAAGACCTGTTTGCTTACCTTGGGGTTTTTCTGATTATTTCCTAATTGTTAACACTGTCAGTTGTGCCTGTTTAAATGAACTTTTTTCTAATAAGCTTTGTTCTTCTATATTTTATTATCTTTAGCCTCTCGTTTAGTGTATTATTTATTGCAAACTGCTTTAAGACCTTTTTAAATGAAAAAAAAACTAAAAATAAATTATTATCATCATTATTATCATTATCATTATTATGATGTGAAAAGAATGGATGTAGCTGAGGCTTGCTTCCTAAGCTTTCATTTCACAAACAGAAGTGACTTTAGTTAACGGAAAGAGAGTTACAGTTGTGGAAAGATTCCTGTTATTGACCTGTTATGCTTCCATTCATGGAGTATTTCTAGAATGCCTGGTGTTGGCCGTGTTACTTGGGTTTTTCCTTCTCCTGTATGTCTCTTTTATGTTTTTGTACCATGTTTGTTTTATACCCAGTTTTGTGCAGTGAATAGAGTGATAGACTAGGACTCTGGAGAACAGGGTTCAAATCCCTGCTTAGCCATGGAAGCTCAGATACCTGCTGGGTAACTCAGTGGCTTAGGTTGGGAGTTCAGTTCCCCACTGTGCCTCCTTGGGAGGGCTAGACTCAATGTACCATAGGGTTCCTTTCAGCTCTGTAGTTCAAAGGTTATTATCTCACTTACCTTGAAAACCCTATTAGGGTCACCATAAGTCAGTTTCAATAGACAGCATATAGCATATAGCAACAACCATGTATTATTGAATACAAAGTGATGTAATATAGTTAATGCCTTGAAAAAATTAGCAGAGAGAGAGTGCTGTATATAAATATAATAATTCCCCTCTTTCATTTTTTTCTTTTTTTTAAATTTATTTTTAACAGGGGGTGACAGAAAGGAAAAGGGGAATTGAGGTAAAGGGGGGAAAGGAGAAACAGTAACATACTAACATCCATTCTATACATATTGCCATAACAAAATTCCAAATTGCTCTTTTTACTATTTTCTGCCTTCCAGATTTAAGTTCTCATTTCACTGTATGCTCTTCATACGATGTCTATTGACTCAATCCATTTATAGAATAAGTCCCATCTTTCAGTTGCCTTTTGTAAAGGACAGTCCTTCATCACTTCTGATAAAATGTCCATTTCAGCTGTTTCCCTTATCTTCTCTATAAGATCTTCTTGTTTCGGTACCGTCGGACTTTTCCAATTTTTGGCATATAAAATTCTGGCTGCAGTGACTATGTATATAACTATATACTCCTTTGTCTTATCTATGTTATGAGGTATCATAATAAAAATAGTTCTGGGGTTAATGGCAATTTACAGAGCAATATTTGTTGCAACACAGCATGTACTCTTTTCCAATACTGTTTCGCTACTCTACATGACCACCACATATGATAATAGCTTCCCACATGTGCTTCACATTTCCAACACACATTTGATACATCTGTATACATCTTCAACGATTTTTCTGGAGTCATATGCCACCTGTAAAACATCTTATATATATATTCTCCTTAAAATTAGCTGACCTTGTAAGCTTTATATTATTTTGCCATATTTTCAACCATTGATCAATGTCAATATTATGCCCTTTGTTTTGTGCCCACTTAATCATACATTCTTTAACCATTTCATCTTGCATTTTAATTTCTAACAGATAGTTATACATTTTCTTAACTGTTTTATCTTTTGAACCTAGTAAAAGCTTATCGAACATTGTTTGTTCTGAGTAGAAACCTTTTATTTTGTCTTTTATATATCTAGACTCCAGCTGTGCTCTGGACCACCAGTCTATGTAAATATTCTGTGACTCTAGCTCTTCTTTGGACCTTAATTCACCATCCTTTTTAAATAAATCCTGATATCGTAAAAGTTTTGCTTTTATCATGAGATTAGGTTGTGTAAAGGCCTCTATAGGTGATACCCATACAGGTGTTTTTTGATAAATTTGTTGTATAATCTTTCTCCACGTTCCCAATAAAGCTCTTCTTATCATATGTACATTAAAATGCTTTTGCTCTTTATCCTTTTTATACCATAGATAAGCGCGCCAGCCTAGCTGTAAATCATGTCCTTCCAAGTTCTGACCATTGATAGCTACTTCTATAAATATTCTTATTTCCTCCTTTTCTTTTTTACTTTTCAGTTACCTGACCCTGCGTAATAAACAGAAGTTCTTACACACCACAAGACCTTTTTTAAAGAGGGCTGCCTTGGTACTTACCTATGTAAGTAATGATATTAAGTACTATTCTTTCCTTTAATTTCTTGAGATAGAATTACAGTACTTATGAATATTGGTTCCTCATTTCAAAGAGTAATCTAATATTGTTATGTCTTTATTCTGCTTGTATACAAGAGTGTTTCTGAGAATTATAGTGGTTAGAGAAGAAGGCTTCCCAGTAGAGATGTGCATATTTGTGTTCAGGACTGCAGCTCCTAGATTGCTCTAGATAAGGTAGCCATGCTTGGGAATGCAAGGAGTTGCGATCCCAAGCCACAAATCAGTTTATCTATTTACAACAATGATGGGAAGACATGGACTTGGTGTGTGACTCTTATCATCTCCGTGTTGAGTCTACTGGCCAAGGCTGATGAAATCTGCCAGGGCTGATGGGCTATCAGCTGGAAGATCATGTCTTCTCCATGCCTGGCTTATCAGTCTGAAGAGTGTCAATTGTTTGTGGAGGTTCAGGGAAGTCAAGTACAGTGGTGCCTCGCAAGACTATGTTAATTCGTTCCACGAAAATCGCTGTCTTATGAAAACATTGTCTTGCGAAACAAAAAAGCCCATTGAAATGCATTGAAACCGATTCAATGTGTTGCAATGGGCTGGAAACTCATCGTCCAGCGAAGATCCTTCATAGGGTTGGCCATTTTCGCTGCCTATAAAGTGGGGAATCTGTCCTGAAAACACAGCGGGGAGCCATTTCGCACAGCGGGCGGCCATTTTAGAACTGCCGATCAGCTGTTTCAGAAACATTGTTTAGCGAAAAATCGGTTCCCGAAGCAGGGAACCGATCATCATTAAGCGAATTTTCCCCATAGGAACATCGTTTTGCAATTGCAAAAGCAATCACAAAACTTCATCGTCAAGCGGTTTTGTCGTTTAACGAGGCACTTGTTAAGCGAGGCACCACTGTACTATGATGGCCTGTGGTTGGGTAGCCATGGAGAAAATGTGCCTCTCTTTAGTATTAACCAATGACTCCTTTTCTTATCCAAAGGTGATCCTACTTTTGTATTTTCGTCTGTGGATAATGGGAGGTTCCATGCCAGCATTTTCAGAACAGGACAATCCAGCTTCCTTCTCGCCATATCTTCTTACGAGGTGTGATACCAGAGATAGATTTATGAATTACACAGTACCACTCACAACGTTTGCTGCTTTTTGTATCAAATTTTCCATTGTAAGAATTGCCTAGGAACCCTAGAATACCTCTGTATTTATGTAAATGTACTACATAAAATCATTCTAGTGCCATTGCATGTCCAGTATCTTGTAGCTGTTGACATTCGGTAACATCCAGTGATAACCGGCAACCTTAAAAGTTACACTGTTGACAGTTACCTGAATGTAATTATCAGTATTTGCTTGTAAATGTCAAATAAATACATACATATTTAAGGTTTCCATTGCATTCATGTGAAGGCATTGGTGTTCATGTGTGGATAGTGGCAGCCCCCAGTGTATAAACATTCACATATACAGGTGATTATAAACTGAGATAAGTGCTGCACAACATTCTGTATGTTCTTCCTCTGTACAAGAATAGAATGCTCAGGGTTGCCTCAGTTTATCTTCAAAAGGACCTTGTGAAATGTAAAATACTGTTGCAGCTAATGGATGAAGAACTTGTGGTGCAAACAACCTTCCCATATTAGTCCAGGGCAGAGGTGTATAACCTTAACACAGAGTATTTTTATACCTAAGTACACAAGAGAACATAAAAATTATATCTATAGAAAAGGAAAATAATAAACATCTGTGATTTTACTTCCTGGATATATTTGTTGTTGTTATGTCTCACTCTGATCCTATGAAAGAGCTTTTTCCAAGATGTGGATCCGGAGCCAGAGTCTAGGAGCTCAGTTCCCCACTGTGCCTCTTTGACAAGGGCTGGACTTGATGATCCATAGGGTCCCTTCCAGCTATGCAGTTCTAAAATTAAGATTAAAGAAATAATTTAAAAAAAACTTATCCTCAATAACCCTGCTCAGCTATTGCAAACTCAAACCTATGGCTTCCTTAAGGGAGTCAATACATTTGATACTTGATTTTCTCTTTTCCTGCTGCCTTCAGGTCTTTTCAGCTTTATTATCTTTTCCAGAGAATCTTGCTTTTTCAATATGTTACCAAAGTTGGAGACCCTCAGTTTCATCATTTTTGCGTCCAGAGATAGTTCAGATTTGATTTGCTCTAGCACTCATTTCTTTGTCTTTCAAATGAACCAATTTTTCCCTGTTACCTTTCTTTACTGTCCTGCTTTCACATGCATACATGTTGATCAGAAATACAAGAGTGTCAGTTAACTTGGTCTTTGTTCCTAGTGACATATCCTTGCACTTGTTGGTCTCTTCTGAGTCTCAAGCTTTTTCTGATTTCTTGACTGCAGTTTCCATTTGGACTGATGATTGAATCAAGGTATACAACATATTTCAGTATTTTAATTTCTTCATTATTGACATTAAAGTTTTACAGTATAGTTCTTCTGTAGTCATGATTTTTGTCTTCTTAATATTCAACTGAAGTCGGCTTTGGCACTTTCTTCTTTCACTTTCACTAAAAGTCATTGCTGCTTTCTGCTAGCAATCTTCACCCCTCCTTCATCTGAATCTAGTCTGGTATACAACATATTTCAGTATTTTAATTTCTTCATTATTGACATTAAAGTTTTACAGTATAGTTCTTCTGTAGTCATGATTTTTGTCTTCTTAATATTCAACTGAAGTCGGCTTTGGCACTTTCTTCTTTCACTTTCACTAAAAGTCATTGCTGCTTTCTGCTAGCAATCTTCACCCCTCCTTCATCTGAATCTAGTCTGGCTTTCCATCCATATTTTTTATGTTTCTTCCAACAATCTTCACCCCTCCTTCTTCTGAATCTAGTCTGGCTTTCCATATTATATGTTCTGTGTACAACCTGAACAGGTAAGGGGATAAAATACACCCTTTGTCTATAAGGAAACCATTCTGTCTCTCCTTATCTGGTGGCTTCCTGTTCGTGATACAAATTAGGCATCAAGACAAGTGTTGAGGCACACTCAATTTTTCCAGAAGTTGCCCTAAATTGTTAAGCTAAGGAGCTGAATCCCCTTCATGGATTGCTGCCTTGTCGTGGCGAAGGGGTTTGAGTAATTCAGAGTAGCTATGAGCTATGCTGTGCAGGGACACCCAAGATGGACAGGTCATAGTGGAGAGTTCTG